AATAAAACAAATTTAATAAACAACATGATGAATTACTTAGAAATTAAATTATGTTGTAGTTAATCAGTGGATATTATCGATAGTGTGATAAGCAACAAAACAAACTGAAACAAGATTATGATAAAAACAAACTAGAGTTGTGTAATGATTATCAAATTAATAACAAATAAATTAAATGTATAACACAATCATCATTCTTAGAAACAATGACAAAGATAAATTTGTACAAGGAGTAGACTATGTAGGAGAAACCATCCAAATTATGCATTTGTTGTATTATGTCATAATTGTTCCTCAAAAATGTTTCAGTCATTAGTCACAACTGATATCTTTAAATCTCATGATTGGACAATTAATTATTCTGCCTTACAATAATAGCTTTTGAATTTGAGAAGCCAAGACAATTACAAATTAATACATTACAACAAGCAGATCAACTTCCACAATTAAGTTAGTAACTTAAATAAACATAATAATTAAAGGTGATGTGTTTTACTTGTTTGCCAATTAGTAGCCTTTAAAAGGATATATATAACAATACAATCTGAATAAATGTAATAAAAACCATTATTTTTTAATGGACTGGGACAGTGGCGTTGTCCTGTAATCCAGCTACTTGGAGGTCACAAATTGTGGATATTTATATGCATGATCTGTGGATGTGATACTCCCTGGGGTGGAATATTGTCCACACTAGTGAGTAGGCCTACTACGACTATCCGCAGTACTATCCTGTTAATTAGATCAATTTAGTAAATTACAAGGCAAAAATGTGGTTCAGATTGCACCATAAACTGTAGGTCCCTTGGTTGCCATTGGCTTCATGGGCTATTAATTAATAGTCCTGTCTAAGGAACATGTCGGCCTTAGTAAGTAACAAGACTACTGTACAAGATCATCCGCCACTCATCTCCATCCATACTTGGCTTACCTTCGTATGGTCGCCATTCAGTTAAAATATTAAGTATTAAAGTATTTAATTTTGTTCACAATTGATGTGGAAGTGTGTTTTAAGAATCAAGCTAAAACCAAAACACCACAATCTTATGATAAACAACAGTAGTTAAAAAGTCTTTATAATTTGAATAGATGCAACAACAACAAATACAAGAATAAAGCATACTAAATAACTCACATTTTTCACCTAAGCAATACGAAAACACAACTTGTAACACGCAATAAATATTTCAAAGTGGAAATTTAAATATTTAAATGCAACATGTAAACATTATAGGAATTTAATTCATGTTGTTTTAGTCAGTTTCTAATTTTAATATTACAAAATATACTTGACTGTGGGAAGGTATAAATATTTATTAAATATATTGTTCATCTCCAATAATTAAGACTACTTTTTGGTTTTTTAACCGTTTAACTTATTAATTAAAAACAAAAGTACTATACATGGTCTTTATTTATAGTAAAATATACAAAATTAATTAGACAAATGTTACCAGGAAATGCATCATAGCTTATACAAGATCCTACATATATAATTTTAACAAATAGCACATTTTGACACAACTTACAAACTCTTAGTATAAAATATGTATATTACAGGACTCATGTACATCGATTTTAAATTTATAAATCTTACAAAAATTTTAAAGCTCTACATAAGTTGAACTCTCTTACTATTTACAATATATAATATTATGTACTAAAAATATTCTACAGTGGAACAAAAGCTAAATAAAATATAAAGGTAGTACATTGATGATTTGTTGATAAAGATAGTAATTGAAAATCTTATTAGTGTTTCTTATTTTTTGCCAGTTTTCTAACACCTCTTGTAAAAATAATCACATTTATAAAACACAGTAAGGGTGTTTACCAATTTCTAAATAGGCCAGGCAAAAAACTGGATTTTAAAATCTATTTTATTTTTCTAAATAAGTGGCAAACCAAAAATTAATAAAATGCAAAATTTAAAGTTTTATGTAAAATTAACAAAATATTTAAAAAGGCTTGTAGCAAAATGATTGTTCCAAAACTAATTCAACATGATTTTAAGTTAAACACAAGAATTTACAGAACTTTGAAAAAAGTGAAACCACCTGTAAAAGGAGTCAGCCGGTTATAAGCTGTTATCTATTTAACCAAAATGATTTCCAAATTACTGTATCTTTATATAGGCTAAAGTATGTGAACAATGTCCAACATACAAATGATCATAGTACTAGTAAACAGTAAAATAGGATAATAATCCTAAAGAACTATTTGAACAAAAGTTCATAATCTTGGCTACATAATATGAAAAGGTAACACAAAAATATCATTTAAAACCCGTTATAGGCTATATATATTTAGGCTATATTTAAAATTTAACTTACACATTCTGTTTAAAATCTTATAAAAAAGTAAGTTAAAGTTACATAAGAAAGCAGCATCATGATATAGCACAGCTGTACTAGTATTAGTTGACAGTTGTGGATATTAATTTAAGTTTAACTTCGTCATTTTACAATATTTGTTTAAATTACCATTTACTTTAATCAAACACATTTTCATTTAGTTTTTCATTATTTTTATGTTCAACAAAATAAGTCTTTATAAGACTAAAACACATTTTGTTGTTTAAATGTAACCAACTGTTCATTAAAAATCCGGGGATGTGTAACTAGGCTTTGGGTTTTGTTTGAATTAAATTATTGAAATTTTCTAATGATAATTTGTTATTCCTCTATCACAAGGTATTTATAAAATGTTGGTGCCTAACCATCGCTCTCAAACAATAACTTGTTAAGAAATAATAACAAGTTACATATTTTATTACATATAAACTGTCTGTGACCGGCCACACTTGTAATAATTATAGTACAACACTTAATTGAGTATCTACAATAATTGTATAAATAACAATATGTATAAAATACTATTTAATCTATTTACAAAATGAATTTACTTTTCTTTTCATTATAGGTCTGAACAATGAATTACAACGTGAATTGTATCCAAATGTCCTATATGAAAGTAGTTAATAACGTAGTACGAAGCAAAAAAGACGGTACAAATTTAAGTTATACAGTACACAACATTGCTTAGCTTAATAATATCAAAACAGCATATCCCTTAAACAACAGTAGACAAACCCATTCTAAAAACAAATTATATTCCAAATGGGTAAGTTAAATCACAAATATAAAACGTTATAAAATTGTATAACTAAGATGATAACACCAAAACCAGATGCAATTAAGTACTACCGGCAAACAATCAGCAGCATTGAAAAAACAATAACCTGTATAATAGAACACCGTATCCGTATTTTTAAAGTATATCGATTATTTCTAGGTTTCTAGCAAGAAAAATATCACCCGAAGGAGGCACTTCAACTCTTATGGACCGTAAAGTAATAGTAAAATTGATGATTTTCAATGATGTTGTGTTTTTACTGAAGAAAACTGTTTGGCTTCAACATTATGTTGCACACTACATGCCATTGGTGTTCTAAATCATAATAATAAGCACTTACATTGAGCACGGTGAAACTAAGTGTGGAGTAACTAAGCGCGGTTTGAGCACTCGTAGGAATGACTTATTGCTTACCCTAGACCTACATGAAGGCGATGGAGAGAATAATCACGTATAGTCGAGTATTGCTTCTGTGGAGGTAAGACTAGCGTTGACCAGGGCAAGGCACTCTCCTGCATCTGCAAACATATTTCAAATCCTGTATATCATTGTACGATGTTGAGCAATTACTCTAACTGACCTTCACCATTCATGGCAATGTACAGTAGTCTGATTATCCGAGCCGCCGGGTTAACCGAGGCAAATACAGTACTGTATATAGCCTTTTTTTCATTTTTGTTCCAGGTCCACAGTATTGATAGCCGGGCAAATGCAGTTCTGCCTGTAATAAATCGATTGTTGGTACAAGTTGATAGAGAGAGAAATATATTTTTATTTAATCATAAATCACTTGTTACTGTAATAATAAACCATATTCTCCAGTTTCAAAATAATTTTTGTCTAATTTTAACCTATAATTTTTACCGCCATCTTATCCCAGTTTTTTTATCATCCGAGGTAGTCTGGGTACCGTCTAACTCGGAATTCTACTGTACTACCTTACTTAACCTATTGATGACACTTTTTTGTGATTCATTTATCAAAAAAAGTTTTAAGGTTATTTCCTTTTTATCTCTTTTCGATTGGGCACAGTAATGTTCTTAGACCCAATAGGCAAGGGATCTTTTATATATATATATATATTTATGGTCTTGTGAGTCTACAAGTGTAAATATATGTTCCAAGTGTTATTTATTAGACGTATTTTTATTTAACTTTTGTTAATTTAATATCACATACAGTTCTGGTCAAAAATGTGTTTAATTGTCCATATCTAACCAAAACAAATGAAAAAAATCCATGTTCTCCTCCTTAATACGAGGGTAAAAACAAAACTGGTGTTGTGTACAATCCCTCTATTAAACTCGTTAAATGCCGTCAACCTGGTTCACATGTGTGTTTTAATACAGGTTTCATACAAGATGGCAAAAAATTTATCAAATTTGTTCTTCACTAGTGGACCCGAGCACACGGAATCGTGCGCTACGCTAGCAGAACAATAAATAATTGAAATGGCAATCTCAAAACATTTACATGCAGTGCATGGATCCACCATTAATTCACCATTTTCAGCCTATCAGAGTGCTATTACAAAATATCCCCATTTTTATCTTAGCATGGCGTAATTTCACCATTTCCGCTATTTTATGCGCACTGAAGTATATACACACACTCAAATATATTATCATGCAGAAAGTGCTTGTCTGCGACACATAATATTACAATGTTTTTCATGAGCCTAAGTGCACGCTTACGTGAAACTATATTTTACAATGCAATACGTGCGCTATAGTACTGGACCACTATTATAGCGCACTTATTGCATAGTGGACTGCTTATAATACAGTATACATAGGTTTACGATGCATCATAATAAATGTAACACAAAATTTAGTTTTAAATTGAAAACATTTAACTGTAAATGGTTATACTACATTTTTAAATACTATATTCCGAGTGAACACTCGATCATCACCTCTCAACCGGCCTTGTTTTTCTGTGTCACGGACCATGAATTTCAGCCCTTCAAACGATCGTGCACGGCTGCAGGCTACATACAGCTGTCCATGGCCAAAGACAGGCTCTTCAAGTATTATTCCAACTTTGCCAATGCTCTGTCCTTGTGATTTGTTGACTGTCATAGCAAACGCAGGTATGATTGGGAACTGCGTGCGTTGCATGGCAAAGGGGAGGGCTGCATCAGAAGGACGTAAATGGATTCTTGGTATGAGAAATCGATTTCCCGAAGACGTTCCGGTTAGAACTTCCACGTCGATAGTGAGTGGATATAAATGCTTCACTCTCAATCGGGTACCATTAATCAGTGCTTTAGCAGTGTCTAAATTTCTTATGAGCATGACGACCGCGTTGACTTTAAGTTTTAATTTATGAGGAGGTAATCCGCTCAATTCAATGCTATTGAGGAATTCGGTTGGGAAATTCAGTGTCTCCGAAACGTCATCAGTTACAATCTTGTCAAAACTGTAATAAGTCGTGAACTCTCTGGGCATCCTTGACATTATCTTTTCGTTTACAGAATGGCAGAATTCGTTTTTCGTAGAGAGGATTGCTCGGTCTGTTATAGTGTTGCTTGTTATAATGCTGTCAAAGTCATTGTATACTTCGTCAATAATATCTCCTGAGCAGATAACGTTCTGAGGAAGTTCAATTATATCATCGCCGAGATCAGAATGAATTGGATATGTCCCATCGCCAATTTGTTTGAGGAAGCTTATAAAGTCAAGCTCAGATGGCAGCGCAATCATGTTTTGCGTAAGCGTGAGCTGTTTGATTCGTGGCCACTCTTCTAAAGATTTCACACATAGCTCAGTTGTAGCTGTTTGCCCAGCGTGGGGTACAACAGGGAGCGTCTGCCTAAAGTCCCCGCATAGGAGAACGGCTTTGCCTCCGAACATTTTTTCGCGATTTTCGGGAACTGATAGGTCACGTAACAAACGGTCGATTGCTTTCAACGCGTAAATCGGACACATTGAGATTTCATCGATTATAATCAATGCTGAACTCCTGATTCTATTGGCAACAGCACTATTAGCTTTGATAGATGATACCGATGACTCAGTGACAGGAATAGGCAATTTGAACTGATTGTGTAATGTTCTGCCTCCCACCAGCAAGCTTGCCGCTATGCCACTGAATGCGCACGGTAGACAGTCAAGACATTTTGAACGTAAATAAAACAGCAATGTCTTTTGCACATACGTCTTTCCACAGCCAGCGTGCGCAGTGAGACAGAGCACCTTTTCGCCTTGTCCTTTTTCAATAGCACCAATAACTTCTGTAATGATTGCTTTTTGTTCGTCATTGGCCATGTTGAACATATGATTGAAGCACTCGCCTTGTTCCATTACGTCGTAACTATCTATGTTTGTTGACTGACAGTTCGGAATTGGAAGCCCTAACTCAGCACAACTTGTGTTGTGAGTGATCAATATATCCTCAATTTCAAGAAGACCCAAATTATACGCTGCTTCAGAGCACATATCACAAAGTAAGTCTTCACACAGATGGTCTTTGAACTGTTCCCATAGTGCGTTGCAATTTGCGGGTATATTAATACCACAAATAACTCCAAAAAGTTGACGCAACTGTCTGGGAGACTGCGATGTTGTCGCTTCGGCAATAGTGTCTTGCCACTGGTCGTCATTACACACAATACCTCTTGCGTTAGCGGCGGCCAAGAATGTTTCGTGAAGTATGCCATCAACTGTAAGAATATCTTCAAAACCCTTCGCACCTTTGACATGTAGTAGCAGGAGACGTAAATTAAAAAGTTCAACATTCTTTGGCGACACATTATAAAGGCGCGTTACGACCTTTTGTCCACCACGCTGCCGTTTACGCCATTCTTTCTTGGTAGAGTCCCATGTGTAATTTTGCGGAATTTCAATGTAGAGTAAATTGTTAGCATCAGAATCTTGTTGGTTAAGTCTGAAAAATGCCTCTAGTTTTGTTTGCTTTGGATTTGCTGCTGCGGCAGCTTCGTTGCCGTTTTGAAAGTATACAGTTTGTTGTTGCGGTAAGTGACAATCAAGACGTTCAATTTTGTGAGATTGGTGATGCATCTCGTATTCGAAAATGCGCCAAGTGGCCTCTGTAGATCCCACATAACGACAACTGACGAAAGAGTCAATTTCATCATATACGATCTGCGCTTGGTCGTCACGACTGAACTGTACGTTGGCGCAATCGTAACCCTTGTATATATATTTATACACATATTTGATTGACCTTACAGAGCTGCAAACTTCAGTGTTGATATGGCAGTTGAACTTTTGCAGGAGAAAAGGGTTATAAGGTACAACAAAGCGGTTGTCAACACTCTGACCACGAACATCAACAGTAACGCCTGTATCACGTCTTCTATATGTTGCGTACCCATTGTGGTTCTCTTGCGTTGACTCGGAAAATTCTTTTGGGAACTTCTTGCTGCACTGGCCATCTCTCATACAAACTGAATTCGGGTTTAGAGAGCCGCATGGACCGTGTATCATATGGCTTTTAACTTTGTCATGAAGAGAGGGATGTAGCTCAATATCAGGTATTTCTGCAGACACATACTTGTCGATAACATCCACCTCGCGGATACGATCTTCTTCGTCTAAAGTGATGAGGATATGGGCGTGCGGGAGTCCACGCTTTTGGAACTCAATTGTATAAATCAGAGCAGCCACTTTGCCAAAAATTTGATCTTTCGTAATGTTGTCAATAAGTTCATTCAGTTTACAATGAAAGACGCGGACGACTAAGTCTGGACGGTAATGTACCGACTCGCCAATTGTTAAGTTGTCAATGATTTCAGGCCACTTCGGGTTGCATGTCATGGTGACGAATAACGATGGCTTCCCAAATTTTTGCACTATTGCCATTGCATCTAAGTAGTTTTGATTCATATTACGTTGTGAGCCGATGAAAGATGACGGCAAAATGACTTGGCGGCCGATTTGAACATTTTCTTCTCCTGCCCTTCTATTGACAAAGTCGGTTATGTTGAGGTAGAGATCAGCTCGTAATTGTGACTGTTGCTTCCGAATGAACTCTAGTCGTGTGCCTTCTATCCTGACATACATATCCACCAACCATTGCAGATAAAGCTTTTGTGAACGGTGCAAAATGCTGAATGGTTCGCGAATTGCAAGACGGTATGATGCATATTGTAACATGGTTAGCTTTTGACGAACAGCTGTTTGATGGGCGGCATCGTAAGTCAAGTCAATGTGCCATCCAGAATCGCCATGGGGGAACAACAATGGATAAGCCAGTGGGTCAAGGGATGGCTCCAAAACGGAAACTCTTCGAACGCCATGAGACTTGTGCCATATGATAAGGTTGCGCTCGCCAGGTGGTGCACCATCTACAGCTTTAAATATAGCTGCCACATCAGTTTGAACGGCATCGTTGAATCTTCTATGATCGTCGTTTCGGTCTCTCTTCATGAACATACAGATGTCAGTTTCTACGCCATCATTTTCGTCCCGACTTAATTCTGCCATAGTTTTGAATGACTGAACGAAAGGGTTTACATTTTCAAGATACGATGTCAACTCTCTCATCAAGGCTTCATCACACTTTTGGTTGGCAGGCATTCGCATTCGTTGCTGAATGGCAGTGTCAACATCGTAAATGTAAATTTGTGCATACTTAGCAGTTTGCCCAGGTGATGGTGCAAGAGTGCCGACGCGGTGATAGAACGTATCGTGGATTTTGAAGTTGTAGACACCGTTTGTTAAGGATTCGTCTAGTTTAGCTTCAGAGCTGATCATGGCAAGAGCAGCGTTATAAGAGCGAATGTGTTTGAGGTAATTTTGTGATTTCTTGCGAATAGAAGCATTCGGATGATGAATGTTTTCGATTAGCTCTTGAATGAATTGTGACGGTATAAATGGTGGCAAAGATACTTTACCCTTGTGGCAAACACAGGGAAAAATTAGAAGCATTCCTGCCGGTCTTCTCCTTCTCAAAATGCCTCGCTGTACAGGCATCACAGGTCATTGACAGAGGTCCAATTGAGAAAGAAAAGTCATTTTGGGGCAGCGTTAGGGCGCATTTGTAACCTAATAGTTGAGGTTGTCCAGGTTCATGTGTTGACTGTGATGAGTTAAGTCTGTTACGCGCCACTGTTCTGTAGCTGCGGTCGTCATCACGATTACGCCTCCTGTCTATGTTTCGTTGTCGTCGCGTCGGAGGCATTTAAAAGAAAAAACAACAAATAAACAAATTATAGCTCCACAAAACAACGATAAATGGACAAATTTAGGTAATTATCATGTTAACACGATCCGTTACAAAACAACATCCGTAAAAAGACACAACATCCGTCATAGCGACACAAAACAACGAAAAATACACACATTTAAGATACAACCATACCAACACGATCCGTCTTGGGGGTTATGTTTTGAGCCGTGACTATTTCCACCGGGCGAATGTCACGACTCATGATCAATGGTTCAAGTGTTTTTTTTTATAGTAGGCTAGTTCAGTGTTTCTCACTCCACGACCCCGAACAAGGCTGTGGGTTTTGTTCTTATTACTCCCACCGCCGACGATTCAGAGGCTCCGAGACTTTCGTTAGCGCTGCATCGGCATAAATTTTGCATCGTCTTCCATCTTAATTTTGTAGTATGTTTGCGTTGTATTTTTGCCTTTTCCTTACTTGTGTGAAGATATTCTCTACTATGCAGTAAATTAAGAGCGCCCAGCGCGCTTGATGGGGCCCGTGAGGAGGAACATGTAGCAGCCGCATCAGCATTGACGGAGTGGATTCTACTACTCTTGGCCACCCCTGGATCATGGCCCCCCTCTTCCGTCATGCTCGTTTCCCCCTCCGGTGCTGCTTGCCCAGAACCATTGAACTGAATACGCCCTACCGCAAGTTACCCCCACTGTTGTTATGTTTTGATTTTATTTATAAAAAAGGCAACCCAAGAGACTATTTAAAAATTATTATTTGTTATAGGCCTATACATAGTTTATTAATTGTTATTCTTTTTAAATTTTAAATTCTTTAGCCTAGGCTACTTGTTGATTTTTTAGATTTTATAATTTTTTACATATCCAATTAAATTTCTTTTTGGGGCCCCTAAATGTTAAATTGTTACCAGTTATTTAAAGGAAGAGATTTTTATATATTCATTGTTGCTATTTTACAAATTTTATTTTACTAAGGTTAAAACTGATTAAATTTACTTTGACTGAATTTAGCCTATTTTGAATTTTTTAAATTAATGTTCCTTTGTAAGTCAGTAGGCCAAATTGGTAACAAAAATTTATTTAAACTTTAATTGAGAGTATTTACTTCATGTATTGTTGTTAATGTTGTTGTTGTTTATTTTTTTAATGGTTAATTACAGCTCGTTTCTCTCAAATGGCGTGTTGTTCTTGAACCTCCATCCATGGTTCTCATTTTGTTAAGTAATGTTTTGTGAGCCGCTTCTCGGGCCTGCGCATGGATCACGCTTCCATTTCGTTAGTCTGGGGGCAGGCTCGAGGGCATGGTTCATCTGGTAGCAGAGCGTGGTTAGTGGGTTGCGTCCTGGGTGCCTTGTCGTGAAACTTGGTTTCACGACTCGGATACTTAGAGATGCGATCACTGTCCGCGTTCTGTTTTTGTTTTGTTTTGAAGAGCCGTGGATGGATTGGTTTCTTGGAAATGTTCTGGCCTGGCAGTTTTGGAAAAGGTCGTGTTGTTGTTGTGGTGGGGCGTAAACGCATTTTATTAGGAGCTCGCCCTTTGGCCGAGGCACCGGGTGGAATCGGTGGTAATGACTTGCATCCTTCGGGAGCAAGAGTGTCAAAAGCATGGTCATGTGTAAAAAAAAAAAAAAAAAAAAAAAGGGTTTGTGTGTACACCCCATCACACAAGTGTTAGGTGTTGTCTAGTGTATGTATCGGTGTATGTTTGTGTGTGTGTACGTTCGTGGGTCATTTGTTGTTGTTTTTTCTTGCGGTACTTGCGGTATGAATGGGCAGGTTCTTCTTTTGGGCCCCATCAGGTGCGTAGGCATCAACGTCCAGAAGCCTTAGGAATTAAATTTCTGTGTTTGTTTTGTGAAAAAATTTTGTTGTCTATTTTGAGTCAAGTGCTGGTTGAGACTCGGTATGGCGTCAATTGTGCCGGAATATTTGAGGAAGCCGGAGCTGGTGTACGAGGTGCGGTCCCGGGGGGAGACTCCTGGAACTGATGTACGCACTTTGCGTACACAGTTCAGACAAATTGCTAGCATGCCTCAAGCTTGGGTTGAGTCGCTCAGTTTGGATGAGGAACTGGAGGCATGTAAAGAGAGGATGGAAGAGCTAAGTGGGGAAATTGATAGTTGGAGTAGTTTGCCTATGGGCTCAGCTAAGGGTTCGGCTATCACACAGCTGACGCACTGGCGTAAGCGTCTGCTCTTGGTTTCAGGGCAACCTGAAATCCAAGATGAGGACAAGAGCTGGGTGGAAGCCAGAATTCTTGAGCTGGAAGGAATTTTGGAGAGTATTAAGGCAGGAAAGTCTGTCAAAGAGAAAGTCGAAATTTTTGAAGACAACCGTTCTTTGGAAATTTCAAACGAAGTGCCAAAGTCTGTTGTTGAAGTTGTGGCTCCAGTGGGTACCCCCCAGGCTCCGCCTACGCCAAGTACACTGCTCCAGTTGCCTGCAAATGTTCAAATGTCAAATGCAAATGTTCAAATGTCAAATGCAAATGTCACACCGTCCCCCTCTCACACGTCCACCTTGGCTGCGGCTACGCTGAATGTCCAGTCCCCATCTCCCTTTCCTTCTCAAGTTCATAGTTCCCCTTCCATCTCTAACTCCTTTGGCAAACTTCCCCATCCCCTTGCCTCTGTCCTGAGTGGTTTCCGGCCGGTGGACGGGTTAGATGTGAATGGTCTTTGTTTTTTTCTGGAGAGTGTTTTGCGCATGCGTGAATACCCTGGCATGTCAGACGCAACTTTGATGGAACTCATTGCTCCATACTGTCTGAAACCGTTGGGGGACAGATTGCTTGATTGTTTGCGCAGAGGCGTCACCTTTGATGTTTTTCATAAAGAAGTTTTGGAGCTTTTCATGCCCCGTCGGGTCATGGAGAAGCTGAAAGTTGAGAGAGTTTTTCGTCCTCAGCAGCCAGCCGAGTCTCTCAGCCAGTACGTGGGGGACATTCGCACGGTGGAAAGGGTCTTGCGTTTGGGGATCAGTGAGCTTGAGCTCATTGACATTGTGCTTCAGGGGTTGAAGCCTGAGGAACGCTCCCGTCTGGTTTTTGCACCACGGCCTTCATCTTTTGCGGATCTGGACAGACTTTCCATCCTTTCGAGATCTGTCCAGGACGCTGATTTTCAGAGAGACCAAGCGGCGGGGCATCTTCCCCTAGCTGGTCATCATGCTGTCGTAGCACCCGTGGGGTTGGGTCCTGAACCGCCGCAGTGGCAGAGGCAACCTGTCGTTTGTTTTGGTTGTGGGCAACCAGGTCACATTCGGCGGCATTGCCGTCAAGGTGGAAATTTTGGACGTGGTCCAAAAAACTAGTTTGCTCACAGGAGGAAAAATTGCCCAATCCTTCCTGTGAGGTTGTTGGTGATAATGTAAAGGGCAATAATTTGAATGTTTTTTCAAGTAAGTCAAAGTCTAAGTTAAAGTCAGTTAATGTTTCTGTTGCCTCCCCTTCTGGGAGTGTTGTGCCTGTGACCGAGCCTCTGCTGCGGGGGATTGCGGGCCTTGCTACCATGGGCGTGAAAGCGGCGCGCTCAACTTGCCCACGTCTCAACATCTTCATAGGTTCCACGGTGCAGAAGGCCCTAGTGGATTCTGGGTCAGCCCGTTGCCTCATTTCCTTGTCCCTTTTTGAAAAACTTGAATCGTCTGGGCTTATCAAGCAAGTTGAGCGAAAAACCCCTATCTGCTGGACTGCGTCAAATTCACCCCTTCCCATCATCTATGAAGCCCGTTTCAAGTTCAAAATTGAACATTTTTCTTGGGTTTGGAGTTTTTGGGTGGCTAAGGACCTTTGTTTCCCTGTCATTTTGGGAGCGGATTTTATCAAGCACACTGGCCTAATTTTGGATTTAGGCAGAGGTCAGTGTTTTTTCCGATTTGCAAGGCGGGTATTAATATCTTTTGCTGATGAAATTGGTGGTGGTGCTGCGGTAGTCGAGCCTGAGATACCCAGCAAGCCAACAATTGATCCGTTAGGGCATCTGACTACTTGCGAGGCTGAAGCCATCAGAACCTTGTGTTCTCGTTTCCCAGATGTGCTGACGCCAAAGCTTGGAGTCACTAACCTGTTAGAGTACGAGATTCGTCTAACAGATACCCGTCCCGTTCGCTCTCACCCATACAAATTAGCTCCACCCAAAATGGAAACTCTCAGAAAAATCATTGACGAACTTCTGGAAAATGGTGTCATTGAACCTTCCCGTTCGAGCTACGCTAGTCCAGCCTTTCTCGTCCCAAAACCCAATGGCAAGTCCCGAATGGTTTTGGACTATCGCAAATTGAATGCGCAAATTGAAATCGACTCTGTGCCTCTCCCCGATTTGCATTCTGCGTTTGATTGGTTCGGTAAGGCCAAGTATTTTTCTGTTTTTGATCTGAATCAGGCCTATCATCAGATTCCTTTGAAACCTGAGTCTCGACCTCTCACTGCTTTCTGCGTTCCGTGGAATTTGTATCAGTTCACAAGAGTTCCGATGGGTCTTGCTGTGGGGGCCCAGACTCTCACCAGACTCCTTGATTCCATCTTTCATGATGTCAAGTTCAAGTTTGTGTTCAATTACCTCGACGATCTCTTGGTGTACAGTGAGAGCTTCGAAGATCACCTGATTCATCTTGAAGAAGTCATGAGTAGATTGAATAGGGCTGGCCTTACCGTGAATCCTGACAAGGTTAGTTTTGCAAAGCCGGAAATTTCGTTCCTTGGTCATCTTATCTCTCATAGAGGCGTCTGCATCGACCCCGCTAGAACCCAGGCTATCAGGGAGTTTCCTCCTCCCAGAGATGTCAA